TTTTATCAAACAAAACTATGCTACATTTTATCTCTGGGACCCTCAGGATGACAAATCAGAGCAAGATTACTGAATGTAAGTACGTTATTTACCTTCAGAGGTGAATGTATCAAACCAGTTGCCGTGATAAGTGTTTTGTTGTTGTGCACTATCCTCAAACAAGAGCATGGTATTTTTTCACTGTAATAGCTACTGTAAATTGGACAGTGCAGTTAGATTAACAAGAAGTTAAGCTTTCTGCCCATATAAGACATGTCTATGTCCTGGAAAGTTTGCTGTTACTTACAACAGTCATGCTAATCAGGTTAGCGCACATTAGCTTAACCGTCCCGTATACGGGAAACCGATCCCGTAGAGGTTAACTGAATTTTTCCTGCATTTTTAAGGCAATAAAGAAAAAGGAAATGTTTACTTGTATATAATTACTTTACCTAGTTTTTGTTTCATTTCCCCCCTCTTTCAAACTATTATGTCAAAATCTGTCTTGTTTTAAAATGTTTTCTTTCTGTTTTATGATTGCCTTCTGCGAAACAACTCCCTCATTCTGTACTTTTGAGGGGAGATGAAAAAGAAAAATGAATTAGTAGGAAGTGGCAGCCAGGACTGTTGTGTTTAAATAACAAAGAGGATCAGAGCAGTGCTCTGTGCTCTCAGAAGCTTCCAGAACCACCTCGGGCCAGCAGACTGTTGATAATGAATCTTGCTGAATGCAGACCAGACCCGAGGTCAGACACAGGCCCAGAATACTGAGGAAACAGATACTGAAGGAGGAGAATTATACTATAAACTGCCCGTTTTCCAGAAAGCTATAGGCCAGCCATTATTCCCAATACCATAACAGTATTGCAATGAAGGAGGATGTCATTATTTCGTCGTCCAGTGTAAAACAAATCTCAGTCTATGGATAGTACACCAAAATCAGGTCAGATACATTGTACAGCCACAGGAGAGCGAGCACAGTGGTCTGTAGGAGACAGGAATAGACCCATGAGGTCCCCAAGGGTGTTACTATGGCTGCTGGGTAATATTTATGGCAGAGGGCTACTTTATGTAAGCTGTTGAGCATAATTAGGAAAATTACTGAGCAGAAATTAGGTCAAGGATGAATCTCCTCTCAGAGCCGCTCCACATGCCAGGTAGGAGGAACCACCGGACAGCACAGGGATTGTGGCGCAGGCCTGAGGGGAACCACATACACAGGCACACACACTGATACACACATACATTGGTTATTGGTCTGCTTTTATTAAAGACCCAATGCAATGCTGTCACTGTAAAGGATAGAGTTCACCACTCTTTTCTCTTTCTCATCTCTCCACTTCAGTGTGGTTCGATTTAAAGCTGTTGGACACTCACTCTCTGAGGCTTTGCGAAGCAAGCAGATGCATGTCTCAATAAATTGATTTTCCCATGCCATCAAGTAACAGTTCATTTCTATTCCAGCTACAATAAACTTGCTTTTAGTTATGAATTATGACAAACACTGAATCGAGCTGACGCTAATGTCATGTGGAGTTTAAGGAAAGACTGTAGCTTTGGCTACACCATGATCTATCCCTATGCAACTGGAGGTTTGCCTGCTTATGTTCTCTCAGAACTGAATCTCTTATCTTGCAGCTGGATGCTTATTGCTGACTATTTGATTTCTCTTTCTGTAAGCACTTAGTGTACATCTTCCATGTCCTTAGCTGTCTCATATAATTCATCCAGCCCACAAAATACTTCCATGATTTAAACAGATCCCTTTTGCAGCTAGGTCTAGTATGATACCTTCATCTCTGGTCCCCACGCACTGATCCACACAGCAAATAAATCCCTCAGCCATTTGCTTCATGCATTGCTCAGTGGGATACTGGGGCCTCATAAGTATCATGTGAAAAGTTCTCCCTCTGTCCAAAGGTACATCTTGTGAGATGTCAGGGTGAAGCCAATCAAATAAAGAGAACTGTTAAACTCATCCAAAATAGTACTATTCCTCCATGTCTCATAGACTGGTGAACAATGAACAGTGATAGCTTCTGAAAGAAACAACAAATAAAATAAAATGTATTTATAAAGCCCTTTTTACATGAGCAGACATCACAAAGTGCTATACATAAACCCAGCCTAAAACCCCAAACAGCAAGCAATGCAGATGTAGAATCATTAATTTGGGTTCGGTCCATACTAAGGGTAGGTTAGGAAACTATAGAAAGTGCTTCCTATATCCAATCCTTGTGACTTTCCATTTGGTGGTGTCATATGGTTCAAGGCAAAGCAGGAATTTGAAAGAGCATTCTAATAAGCATTTATTACAATCGTTTTACATAGCAATAACAGTGTAAAGATAAATACAATGCCATTATCCAAAAACGAAAAAAAACCGCACACTAGAAACGTCAGGCGGCCGACTATCGACCGATTGTCATTGCAATGTCTTATGTATAAATCACACTTCTGCAAAGGACAAGCATGTGTATTTTAGATTTTTGTGGCAGGAAACATAAATGTGTCTTTTGCAACCATAGAGTAGACACACATTTAGAAACTGGCACTGTAGGTGGCAGGACGTAGCGAGCCAAAAAGTTGTGAAATATGGGTTTCCTCTGCATTCAGCAAAGAAACATAATTGAGTGTGTGTGAGTGAGTGAGTGAGTGAGTGAGAATGTGTGTGTGAGTTTATGGTATTCATAAAGATGGACTGAGCTACTGCTGTTTTGATAAATGAAATTCCCTATTGCTGAAGCACTGTGGGGCCAAGGGCAGCCTCACATTTCCCCATCATGTGGCAGTATGTGTTCTCTTCTTACTGCTGTCTGTGGGGAAGTACTCTTCAGACAGTAAATCATATATATTCACTCATCACTGCTTCTCAGTGGTGAGAAGGTGAAGGAGAGACCCTAGTCAAAGCAGTAAACTGCTTCCTATGGCTGGGTAGGCTGCTCTAAGGATGAGCCCTGCTGTCCCTCCAGGTCACAGTAAAGGTGACCCAGGGCTCTAATAATGCACAGCAGAAGAGCTAGATCAGGAAGTCCCTCAGAGAACCACAGGATGTTCAGAGGGCCCCAGGAACACATTCTAAGAGAGTGTTTTTTTTGGCAGGATGAGTCTTTCATTTGTTTTTGGACTACAACAGCGACAGCCCAACAGGTTTCCTGTTTTCCTTCGCGAATCAAGTCTCCTCTGCTCTTCAGGGGGCGATAAAAAGACGAAAAATAAACTTTCTGGGAAACCACCTTTCCTTATTAACACTATTACTAATTTGAAACTTTCACAGAAACATGTATCATCTTGAATGTTCTTTCATTGCAAACTCATTCATTCTATTATTCTATTCTATACATTTCTGAATAGTTGTGTGTACATTGCTGCGTGATTAAATCAACTCTACCACTTGCGCAGATGAGTGGGTAAGAATAAGCTTACTGGTGGCATTGGTCTACAAAGCCAGCAGGTGGCAATCTTCTCACCAAACCTCCCACCTGTGTCAATGGGAATGAGTAGCCTGTAGTTATCAGCTTGGGTTAGGGTTAGTATGCACTGTGTAATACAGTGTAGAAAACATTATTTGATAAAGACATCAATTAAGTTTGAGGCAGTCATATTATTTAACAGCACGGTTATAATTTGTCAGTGATATATCATACGTGACACATGCTGTTAAAATTGAGTTCCAAGAAATGTATAAAATCGCAAAACAACATGTCACATCTTTCTAATTTGTTTTTCACAATAACAACAGCCAAAACCACATTTAAATCTGGTTCACACCCTTTAATCTCTTCCCATCAGAGCAATATCAAGCTGTGACCACACTATAAATTACCAGCCCTACTGAGCATGACATGCAAAGCCAAACCGATTGTCTGTCAAGTCCTCTTTGACATCAAAAGGACATTACATTCATATTGCATATTTTATCAATCCATTGTTGTTTGGCTATAGGTTGTCTTTCATTTCCCCCACAGCCTTACAAGACTAATCCAAATGAGATTTTGCTGCTCTGAAAGAAAAAATAATAAATCTCAGAAAAGGAAATTAGAGTTCTAGACAGTAAAAATATGGTTGAGTACTGCATGCAGACAAAATCACAGTGTAGGCTGTGTAGTAACATGTTGATTAGGATTGTATAGTAGCACGTTGATGTATAAAAACTAAAAATACAATATAATAGACTAATATTTAGGACCTGTAAATACTGTCATCATTCATCAATACAGTGAGGATACTGAAAGGAGCTAAATATATCTTTGGAGTAGGCTATAGATAAAGGTAATGAGTTTGACAATGGAATGGTGAAAGTTCATGTTTCCCAATATCACAAAGCAAAAAAATCAGGAGACACATCAGAAAAACAAAAGAACTCGGTCAACCGCTTAGAAATTTGACAGACAAGGTTTTTATTTTAGTTATGCGAGCCAACTTACTTGTTGCCTAAAGAAGCTCTTCATATATGAAACCTCTAAGATTGCTACACATCCATGTTTTGGCTGAAACCACAGTGGACATAATGTACCGTTTCAAAGCCACATAACGAACTGAGAAAAAACATGAACATGCCATTCTGATTGCAACATGACCAGAGTTCACTTCCCTGATAACATCTCCATGACATGTAAACAAACCTATATCTTTAAATAAATAGTGCTGCTACATTTATGATTGCCCCTGATTTAATAGGTCTAACAAAAAGCCTTAAATATGACATCAGATATGCTTTTAATATAAAGCATGTTCACATTCAATCCAGTTTGTCATGTAAAATAGGTTTCATTGCGTGTCTAAATGAATAGCTTTAACACTTTATTTCGCTTCAATTTTGGACAAGCGCGCACACTGTGCATACACCAGCTTTGTTGACAGCTGCTGCGAGTGAGAGCTGTGATTGGTCCGTTGCGATGGGGGTTTCCGCATTCGCTGTCAGTGCGAGCGCAACTTGGAAAGGGGACTGTCGCGTCTCTGAAGTAACCGTCTAATCATCCATTCCCGGGTGACTACCCGTTAAACGGTTGAGGTCCACGATGCCCTATGTGCTCGTTAGTACTCAGATCCGGCTGGTTAGTATTCCTCTCCTCGTCATGTCATACAGTATGCATGCTTGTAGTTGACGCACGCAATGTTAGACTCGAAATGTTTTGTAATGGCAGGCTATGGCTCTGCAACAATGTAGCCGATTTGGACATTTGTCGCTTATCACATGTCAACCTATATCCTGTTATGCAACATTGTAACATTTACAAACGTGGAAGCAAAACAAATAGCCTACAAACTACAGGGCATAGCAGGTCGCTTCTGGTTTATGGTGTTTTTTTTTTATACTGTGCCCCAAATGAAAAACACATGTTCACTGTTCAGTCAGATATATAGGCCTATTTATGTGCATATTGGGTCCATTGTTTATGAGATTGTGGATGGCCTGCCATGCATTTGGGCCCTATAAAATCTGCGATGCGGAGAATCCAGACATTAAAACTGTATTCAACAATATTCAAACATGTATTGAAATGTAATTAATTTGCACAAGTTTATTATAAGAAAGACATGGACAGAATGCATCAGTGTTTTGTATTTCTTGCAAGTTTTTAAAGAGGCAACGGCATGAGAATGCCCTGTGTCTGTGGGCCCTTTCGAGTGGATCACTCGTCAAGTAGTTGGAGTGGATCACTCTTGTTAAGTCACGCCTTTCAAAGTGTATTGCAGGTTTTCAAAAGTGTCCTACTAGCGACTACACGTCGTCGACAGCATGAACTTTATAAAAATAATTTGATCAAAGGTCATTTCGTTTTTGATAAAGTCGCTGCACTTGCTTTACATTTGAAATGTTACGTAATTTAGCAGACGCTCTTATCCAGAGCGACTTACAGTAGTGAGTGCATACATTTTCATTTTTTTTCTTTCATTCTGGTCCCCCTTGGGAGCCAGACGTGTATAGCGGGAACAGAAATGTTGGTGACCCACAACCCTGGCGTTGCAAGCGCCATGCTCTACCAACTGAGCTACACGGGACTGCTTCTCACCAACTGCACCTTGCAGCCATCACCTGCATTGTGGGAGGCACTATTTGTCAACACTCTTTGCACAATTCTAAAGCTACAGGGGGATACAAAGGAAAGTGATATTTAAGACCTCTCTATAACCAATTCATTGTTTTCAGTTTGTGAGTGTGTGGTATGGGGGTATAGAAAAGTTTATTTCTACATTTATGATGAAAAACTTGTATAAACAATAGCAGCTATGTTGATACTGCCAAGTTGATATGAACCTTGCTGTTAGAAAACCACTATAGTGTCAGACTTTCGGCTGTCGCAGACAGGGCCTTAACAGGGTTTGAGTTGGAAAAAAAACTGTTAAAAATGCTATTTGGAGAACAGCAAAAGCAAGCAAAAATTACCCCAGCCATTATCACCTTGGCTGCCTTAAGTTAATTCACCTCAATCGATTTTAGCTATACAATTATAATGTTATACCTCTGAAAGGGGGGAAATATGATACATTATTCACACCAAAAACGTATGACATTTTTAGAATTGTATTGTTTGCATTTTGATTGCATTTTAATGTAGGCCTATAGGGAAGATAGGCCATGGAGATGTTCAAACATCTTTTTTTTTACAGATTTTCTCAGGGGACCCCACATGGGGAGCCACATACTAACATCTCTCTGTGTCTCCTCTGCCTTCTCCTGCATACATTGCAGCCTGCCTCAGCCTCACCACTGAGCGCCACATCACTGTAATAATATAATAGCATAATATATGCCATTTAGCAGACGTTTATCCAAAGCGACTTACAGTCTCCATAGCCTACTCTCTGTAAAGCAAAGTTATTATGAGAACATAGTAGCGTATTTTTTGCTCCTGCTGAGGTAGACTCCGTTTAACGTTAGCTTCTTACTTCATCCTTCTAGCTGGCCGGAGTCTTTCAACGTTACGGCAACAGAAGTCTCTGCCGGCAGATAGCCACCTGACTGACAGTTGTGCACTCATTCTCCGAGAGTCGTTTTTTGTTTTGTTTGCTGGATGTCTGTAGGCACCGCAGTCGGCAGGACGGTTTTAAAATGGCCTTTTGTCCAGCATCTCGCAAACACACTGTCAGCATCGTCTCTAGTTGCCTACTTGAGCCGCCTCAGAGCTGGGGTAGTTTGTGCCGCGAGAGGGCGGAGTTAACCGTTTGAGAGTGGTGAATGTGCTCCCAAAAAGGCAAATCCAGAAGGCAAATCCGGAAGACGCAGGCGAACATAACGAACTACCCACTGTTCATGATTCCACTCGTTCGCAGAGGCTGGCGCGATTAGAACTTAGTCAGATAATGAATATAAGCATTCTGCGCTTTTATTAACATTGGGAGCAATATTTAATTGTTGACCCGTAATTTATTTTCTTTGTTTACAAAATATTTTTGTATTCTTATTTTTTTGGGGAAAAAATTAGAGGTCTGGACCTCGGTGTCCTCATATGTAGTTACGGCCATGATCACAAATATCTAATTAATGAACGAAATATCATGAAAATGTATTGAGGCTGATGCAGGTGAGCTAGGATAGAAAGTGATCCTCAGGCCAACAAGGACATCTCTCTTTAGTATGTCTGCCACACTGAATGCTGTAAAAAAGAGACATAGTGGCAATAATGTAGTGTTCTTTTTCAGGAGACTGGGCCAACCATGGTAGGAGATGAATACTCTGACCCAGCCATAATGAACTACCTCGGCGCCAGGAAAACCACCATGCTGGGGAACAATTTGTGAGTGTTCAGTATGTCACTGGTGACTCCATCCTTACTGTCAGGAAATGGCTCTTACTTTCATAGCCCAAGATCATGACAAACATTTGAGTCAATCACAGAGCCATGGAACAATGGTGTGAAAGTAAAATTGTACCAGAGCAGAAGGGAGACTGCTGTTCTGTAGTTTGAGAAGAGACCAGCAGAGCTGATGGAACACAGAACAGGGAAGTGTTGTCGTTGCAGATCTGCCACAAGTGCTTTTGGGAAATGAACCAAGGTGTTGAGGGAATAATCACAAAAACACAATCCTGGCTCATTGAGCTGAGTCCTCCTGCGTGTTAGCACTCCAGACAGAGTTAACAATGAGTTTTACATTTGTGAAAAACAAAGCTTTGTGCCTCTTGCAGCTCGGAGTACCATGTGGACGACTCTCCGCGGTTGGTGTTGGACAAGCTGGAGAAGATTGGCTTCCGTGTGGTGACGATGACGGGCGTGGGACAGACGCTGGTGTGGTGCATGCACAAGGAGACAGACTGAGTTACCTGACTGGGGTTCAACACACTAAGAGTGTGTCCTCCTGGGCCACGGGCACAAGGTAGTGATGGTAGTGTCCTCCGTCCAATGAGGGGCCACAGAGACAAAACCTATACTATACATATTACATTACAAATCAAGGCGGAGGATTCTATACATTAATTCTGCTACTGTTCTCTCAGTAATGTAATGGTCCTTTCTACCTTCTAGGGGAGCAAAGTACAGAATTTTAGATAAGGAGCTATTCTCAAGACCTTAAATTAGTGCATTTGTATAATGGCGCTACTTGTCAAAAATCATTTGTACTCCCGTTCAAACTCACTCCAATGTTTTGGAGCAGATACCAAATAGATATGTGAGTAGTGGCTTGTTCATAATCTATCATACCAATGGGTTTACAGACTTCTGAGAAATAGAGGACAATCTCAAGAAAAGTACATTCCAGAAAGAATTTCAGCTCAAATGTCCAAGATTAATTTTCCCTGAGTGTAGAGTATAGTTCATGTCATTGCAACTTGTAACTATCTGTAACTGAATCTGAATGTCAAGTGTGAGATGAATCAGTTTCAAAGTTTATTTTACTTTGCCTTTAGGCCAAGCAAATATTTACCTTTTACTTTTACCAGCATACAAACATTCCTTTATCCTGACTCCAACAGGGCACACAATCTATTCCATTAGATTAGAGCTATTGATGTAGTTTTCTTGTCATTGGTGATATAAATTAATGAGATGCATGTGAGGAAATTATAATAAAGGTGACTATTATTTGATGTCATTTGTATCTGATTTGTTCCGAGGTACGTCTCAACTCTCGAGGAGGTACAGTATACTAAAAGGACAGGTTTGAAGTCTGATCTCCCTGTCTGCCATCTGTCAGTATACTATGGTTAGCATTACATTTGTTGGATAAATGAGATACTCTTTCCTAAGAAAAGAAAGCTCTGTAAATGAGCCATCAGAAAAGTGCCTTCTTGCCTCAGGCCCAGGAGAAATATGGCGTGTCTGCAGCGTTTAGGTGGTTTCTGAGACTCAAAGTGGGCCAGTCAAAGCTCAGTACACAAGGCGAGGTTAGAGTCAGGTTGGGTCCTGTGAGTGTGACGAGCGCTGCAGGAGGCCTGTCCGAGGCCTGGTGGAGACAGTGTGAGCCAGCCCTTCTGCTGCTGCTGGGTGGTTTCATTAGAGGCTCATTTGCAGCTCCTGGGCTGCCAGCACATGTCTTAGGCTAACCCCAGACCACTGAGCCTTCACCAGACCTGCTGCCTCTGCCGTGATTTGGCCACCATTTACACCCAAATATCAAAAGGGTGCCTAATTTTTCCATGCGGGCCCGACTGTGGCTGTTCCAGGTTCCACTGGCGTCTGAGGAGCTGCCAGCTTCCACACAAACAGAGAATCTGAGGAAGAGGAGGAGGAGAGGATGCTGTGAAGATGCCGCCGGGGGCTTCTCCTGTTGATTGGATGGACTTTGTTGGGACGCCATGTCTTCCCATTTAATTTGCACGCAGCACAATCTACTGGCACAGGGCACGGTCAGGATGTGTTTCTGGAAGGGGAACTGTAATTGTATTTCCTCTGTTGTAATTTGGACTCTGGACTCTGAATGTTTTGTCTTTTTTTCTCTCCGGGATATGAAAGGCGGGATATGAAAGGCAGACCGTCAAATGCATAAACAGAACCATCTGATGAGTGTATATTGCAGTAGGAGAGGAGGGGGAACAGAGCAGCGTAGGGACCAGATGGCTCACACCACACCGTGCCACACCACAGCTGGTTGTTATGTAAGAGAGCTGCGGCAGGCCGGGAGTGCCGGGAAGATGGATCACTGGGATGGACCGACCGCCCGGCTCCTAAATAACACGATGACAGGAGGAAACGCCACAGCCCCACAAATTGAGACACCATTACACCATAGTCCTCCGAAGGACAATAAAATACATCTATTTTGCTTTTGGATGTTCGACAGAGAGAGGAGACTGTTACAAAACCCTGTTTCCCCATCAGAGTGACTACAGTCTGGCTCAGTGTGACATGTCCTGACCAGAGCTCCCAGCAGTAGCCTGTCACATCAAGAGACCTCTTCCTCCATTTAACAGCCTCTATTGGGAAACTCATCTGAAATTGGAACTGCAACAATCAGGGAAGAGAGCAACTCAGTGCAATGGTCATGATACTGTATGAGCATATTGTTCATGAATGCCAATGATGTACAGAAATGACACGTTATTGATTTTAGGGACTGAAGTTGGTTTCACTGCCTTAGGTTGGCCAACCAGTCATTCAATGACCTCTTCAGTGTTCAGGTACTTTCGAGGCACTTAATAGTATTTACTATAGCACAACCCCTAAACATGATGTGACAAAGGAAACATAAGGGTGAATACTAAATACAACAGTACAGTTTACAGCCTTGAAGTTGAACAGTACTGTACATGGGGCCTCTGTAAATTGGTGCAAAGCCTTAGATATAGAAAATCCAAGGAACAAACATCATAACCACCGCTACTATAAAGGGCCTCTAGAGTATATTCCCTTTTCATCACGTGAGCCCACAAGAATTCCCATAAAACCTGCCTACAGTCCTACCACTCCAATCCCAGGATAATTGCCGGTTAAACACGGAACAGCCATGACTTTCCCATGTTCTGATCACATTGTCGTGGTTTGGACTGTTGGAAGACTCAACTAATTTCACAGACACAACAAAAATGAACGACTTCAAATTGCATTCAAGGGAAATGACTCAATCTCTTGGCTGCAAAGATATGGTAATGAAAAAACTTTTCACAGTTAAAAAGAGAGTGATACTGACAGATGAAAATTACATGATTGCAGCATTTAGATCTGGTCTAGTAGTGTTGGATGGCCCATCTCTTTGGGTTCTTTTGCAATACATTACGAGAACATCCCTTCATAGTATAAACTTCTCTTGTTCCCCTGTTCGTCTTAGAAGTGGTTTGGATGAAAAAGTACACTGGTTGAGATTACATTACAGTAGTAGCTGGCAACATATAATATAATATATGCCATTTAGCAGACGCTTTTATCCAAAGCGACTTACAGTCATGCGTGCATACATTTTACATATGGGTGGCCCTGCGAATCGAACCCACAATCCTGGCAGTGCAAGCACCATGCTCTACCAATGGAACCATACTGGTAATAATTCAGTGAATGACACAACGAGAAAAAACAAATTCTGTAAATGAGATGTTTATTCAACAGATAATTTATAAAAAACTATGAGATGTGCTTTATGAAACTAAAACATCAGGTGTGTAGTAGAGTTGGGTTGTGGCTGGGCAGAGCTGGACTGGGGCCAGGATTCATTCAAAGGCTTGTTAAAGCGCTGTGCACTGCACTACCGACAAGGCGCCTTTTAAAGGCAATTTCCCAGACGTTCGCAATGCTGTCGACTCAAATGGAAATTACCTTTAAATGTCAAGCACTGTGCGCTTATAGACAACACACCTTGGATTGAATCCCGGCCTGGGCCTGGTACTAGGCTGCATCCTCTTCATCCTCTCTCTGCATCTCCTCTATAAGCCTCTGTCTCTCTGCTGCCTGTCTCATCTTCATCAGCACCACGCTCTCGTAGTCACGCTCGCTGCTCAGGGCGCCCTGCAGGGTGAGACACACACAGACACAGTCAGATCAACACAGGGACAGGCAGGTAGACGAAGGACAGGTACAAAGCATTTTCAACCTGTGATCCTTGTTTGTGTTTATTATTATTATTATTATTATTATTATTTCTTAAATATATATTTCCCTTTATTACTTTCCAACCCCACCACCCCTTCCCTAATTTGAGTAAACTAGTGAACAACAACGCTTAGGCCTCTACTTCCAGCTTATACATACTATACTTATACATACTATATATACACCTTATGGACATTTACAATAATTCTACCTTGCTTGTTTTTACTCCTGAACTTCCTCTACCCTCAACCTCTCCGATCATTTTCATGATGCCCATCCGGTTTGCTTCTATATGCCATATATTTCTAACTGTACTCTTTCACAAAAGCTCTCAACCTATAACCTATATACTTATTATGGACACAGTATGCTTTACATTAGTTATCTTGTTGTTGTTAGTTGTTATTAGTCCCTTCCTTTAGCTCCGTTCAACACCTCCCATCCATCTCTTAACACCATCCATATTGGATTTCTATTTGCCATATATTTTTCAACTGTACTGTGATGTTTCACAAAAGTTCTGAACCCTTCTATTCTCATTGTTTCTACAGATTGTACATTGAAAATAAACATTTTTGCTAAAAGTATTATTATATTATTGATCGATTGACTATGACTTTTCAGATCACCCAGTAGTGCTATCTGCAGGGTTAGCTCCAGGTAAATATTGCAATCCTTCAGTCATTCCTGGACCTGTGTCCAAAAACAAGCTACAAATGGACAGTACCAAAACAAATGATCTAATGATTCTGTCTCCTTGCAGCAAAATCTGCAGAGCTGTGAAGATTGTATCCCCCATATAAATAACATTCTATTGGTAGCAAGAATGTTGTATAATAATTTTAATGGAAAAATTATAAGTTTTGAATCCGGCGTCGTTTTGCGTATCAGTTCATAAACACTATGCCATGGAATCGGTACGTAAAAAATCTCTTCCCAACTATTTTGCAATCAATATGGGACGGCTGTCAATCCTTTGGTCCTTAAATTAAACTGGTATACTTTTTTATTTATCACAATTTTCTTTAACCAATTATGTTCTTTAATACAGGGCCGACAGACAAGTTCCTTACTTTTTCCCCCTTCCACTTTCCTCTTCCATTTTTGCGGTAATGATGCAATTATTTGGTTGTAATTTTGAGTGGAGCAGACATTTCCATATGTTTTTGTTAGCTGCATGTGTGACATAACTCCACCAGTCCTACCGATGATATCATTTACGAAGATTATACCTTTTAAAAACATTTTTTCAAAAAATTATTGTTTTTTATCAATTAGTATATTTGAGTTTAACCACA